GGGCGGGTCAGAGCGTGGGTGCATCCGCGCGAACCAGCCCTCCGTGCGGGAGGAAGGGAGGACAGACGGTGATGAGCCGGACCAGGCGGGGGGCTGGGACTAGGCCGGGAAGCGAGGAGCGCGGTGCCTGGTCTCCCCAGCTCTACCTGACGGGGCTGCCATTCACCCAGTGGGGCTGGAAGGTGGCTGGGCTGGGAACGGGGAATCCAGGTCCCCGAGGGGCAATGCCTGACGCCTGCCTGGGGAGAGAGGAAGCTGAGCACATGTAAATAGGAGGCTTCGTTTCCTCCTTTATTTCTTTTGCTCCGAGAGGACGTTTTTGGTAGCCCAGTGTCAGGAATTCTATCTCCGGCTCCGCAGTGGTTCGCTCCCCAGTCCCGCGGTGACCAGTAGCCTCCGGGTCTCGGAGCCCAACCTGGACCAGAGAAGCTTCCCGAGGCCATGCTGACGCTCCGGGCGCTCCTGGGGGGCCAGGGGGCCAGTCGCAGCCCATGGAGATGCCGTTCAATTCCGAATCCCACGACCACCAGCTGCTGTCAGGTGAGAAGCAGTGTTCTCTCTCTCTCTCTCTCTCTCTCTCTCTCTCTCTCTCTCTCTCTCTCTCTCGGTGGTTTGGGGGTGGGGGTCACATGGCTCTATCGGTGTCATCAGTATGACTGGCATGCTGCATCGCCCACGCGTCACTACCAGGCACTACCAGCTCTGCAGCGCGAGCACAGTCACGTGACGTTCTTGTGAATTCCGGCACTCACATTCTCATGGCACTCACATTCTCATGGACCGCCTTCCTCCTTTAAGTCCTCAAATCACCCGTTTTCCCCATTATAGTCACCTTATCACCGATCTGTCAGTATTTGATACTCCCCTTTTAAAATCTTTTCTTTTTTTTTAAAATATATTTCTATTGATTTCAGAGAGGAAGGGTAAAGGAGAGCGAGAGAGAGAAACATCAGTGATGAGAGAGAATCATTGATTGGCTCCCTCTTGCATGCCCTGCAACCCGGGCATGTGCCCTTGGCCAGAATGGAGCGGGGGACCCTTCAGTCCACAAGGCGGCTATCCACTGAGCCAAACCAGTTAGGGCGCAAGTTACTTTATTTTTATGATTCTGTTTCCTCAGTATACGTACATACTAATTCATGTCTTGGAGGTTCTTTTCAGGATCATGTCTATCTATTACTCCAGAAAAAGGGACCTCAAAACAGTGAGCTAAAAGATCAGGCGTTTTTAAACCATGTTATTTCCCTTGGTTCTGCAGGTCATCAGGTTGGGCGGGGTTCGGCTGGGCAGTTATATTTTCAGGTCTTGCCTGAGATCCTCATGCAGTCCTCTGGTGGCTCAGCTAGGGCCGGTCTAAGCCGGTATCAGGTACACGTGTTGGCTGTTGGTGCTTTCTATGGCTTGGGCCATGTACGTATCTCTAGCACACTAGTCCAGACTCTTCCACGGGGCAGCTAGTTTCCAAACTCAGACAGAGGCCGAGCCCTGGGAGGCAAAGCACTTTCTAACCTGTTTGTGTTACTTGTGTTAATATGTCATTCACCAAGCAAGTCACATAACCAGTTCCAGAGTCATTGTGGGTGAGAACTACACAAGGATTTAGATCAGCCGTGGGCAAACTACGGCCCGCGGGCCGGATCCGGCCCGTTTGAAATGAATAAAACTAAAAAAAAAAAAAAAAGACCGTACCCTTTTATGTAATGATGTTTACTTTGAATATATATTAGTTCACACAAACACTCCATCCATGCTTTTGTTCCGGCCCTCCGGTCCAGTTTAAGAACCCATTGTGGCCCTCGAGTCAAAAAGTTTGCCCACCCCTGGGTTAGATACTGGGGGAACAGGATTCAGTGGGGCCCATCCTATATAATAAAAGCCTAATATGCAAAGCAACTGAACAGTGGAACGACCAATGGAATGACGAGTCACTATGATGTGCACTGACGACCAGGGGGCAAATGCTCAACACAGGAGCTGCCCCCAGCCCACAGGCCCCAGGCCAGCCAAGGCAGGTGCCAGCGGCACCTCCCCACCCCCCATCACCCCACTGGGCCCCTCCAAGGTGGGTGTCAGTGGAGACCCCCCCAATTGCTCCACCAGTCACCCCAAAGATCAGCTCTGATCGCCAGCCAGGCCTAGGGACTCTACCCATGCACGAGTTTCATGCACCGGGCCTCTAGTTATTACTATAACAAGCACCACAGGCTCTAGCTGAGATCCTATATATAAACCCTGAGAACCGACCTGGCTGGTACTAAGTTCTTTATAAATAGTAGCCCCTGTTATTTTTAGTACAATAATTCTGACCCAGACTTTGTTCAGATATCCTACAGGGTCTCATTTTCACATCATATTTTGCTGCTGCTTTATTTTGGACCTCCCATTGCTGCTGTGTTTTTTCTAAGAAATTCAACTTCTATTATCCCTTTCTTTTACTCTAGATCTTCTGCCTCTTTTTAGTTTTGGAGCATCTTTATTTTATTTATTTTATATTATTTATCCTGTATTTAGAATTTGTCTTTCTTTAAAAATCTGTTCTAAGGCCTCTAGTTCTCATCTTTTCTGAGAATCACTGGGCCTTCTCCTTAAAGTTGTACATAAATTGGTATACATATTATATTGCATCTGTTTGTTTCTCTTAGAGTGCGTATAAAATAACACTTTTAATTATAGTCATATACAAAAGTGCATTTATAAAATGTAGAAAGACACAAAACAGAAAGTTTAAATAACCTGCAAGTCTATTGAGAGATAGTCACTGCTAACATTTATGTATCCTTCAAATAATTTAACTATTCAACAAATACTTATTGTTGATAAATGCTTATTAGTTAATAAGATCATAGCTTATTATTATTGTCCAAATAATATTATTATTATTGAGAGGGTTTACTCTGTGCCAGGCACTGCTCTAAGTGTGAGGGATATAGCAGTGAACTGAACAGACAAGACTTTGCTCTCAAGGAGCTTACATTCTAGTGGGGAAAACAGGAAATAAATAAGTATACAGTATAGTATCAGGTAGTAATAGTGGTTATGGAAAAAATAAACCAAATGTATCAGTCAGTATTCTAGCAGAAGACAGTGGGCTCATTCAATTGGGGTAACTCAAAGTTTCGTGAAAAAGATGGGCAGGGTCACAGAAATCAACAAGGGATGGAGAACAGCCTGTAGACAAACAATGATGAGCACTTACTACCGTTAGGTCTTAGTTACAAGGGGAGAGATTGATTACCAGATCCGAGTGTGGGTAGCTATAGGATAGAGCTGCCCAATAGGAGCTGTGGCCTTTGCTAAAAGAAACACAATTACTTTCAATTCCTGGCCCAGGAAGAGGGAAGCCAGGATGGGAGGGAAGCCAGGATGTAGGGCAGTGGTTCTCAACCTGTGGGTCGCGACCCCTTTGGCGGTCAAACAACCCTTTCACAGGGGTCGCCTAAGACCATCCTGCATATCAGATATTTACATTATGATTCATAACAGTAGCAACATTACAGTTATGAAGTAGCAATGAAAATAATTTTATGGTTGGGTCACAACATGAGGAACTGTATTTAAAGGGCCAGAAGGTTGAGAACCACTCATAGGGTAACCAACTCATCCCAGTTTGCTTAGAATTTAGCACTGAAAGTCCCACATCCTGAGCAGCTCCTCTGTTAGGGGCAAATCAGGAAAATTGGTCACTCTACGATTCTCCTCCCACTTTTGGCTAAATTTAATTGCAAGCCAGAAAGCACAAAACCCCAAGTGAAGCAGTGCATAAACTAATATCCACCTCCTGAGGCACAGAGCAGGGTGAACAGTAGATGTACGGGTGTGAAGGGACAATATCCATCACAGCCCAGCCCTTTTAACCTATGCCAGTGGTCGGCAAACTCATTAGTCAACAGAGCCAAATATCAACAGTACAACGATTGAAATTTCTTTTGAGAGCCAAATTTTTTAAACTTAAACTATATAGGTAGGTACATTCAACTTTAAATTCACGGTTTTTGTCTTCCGGTTTTCTTTGTTTCTTCTTTGTAGCCATCTCAAAGAGGGCACCTAAAAAAATGTATCATTTTATAATAATAAAGCCACCAACGCAAAAGAATTACAATTCTTAAATTGATGACAGAAATACCTGTAGGATTTGCAGCTGGTTGGAAAAATACAGGTAACTTTATGCTTCAAGTAGGTACTTTTGTCACCCGCGCGCGATTTGCGGAGCAACTAGCACTAACCACTGCACAATGAGACTGCTGACTGGCTCACTCAACTCGTGCATGAATCGCATGCCTTCCCTGCGCTGTGCATCCCGCGGCCCGCCTGCGCCTGACCAACAGACACTGCCCACTTCTTCTAACGCCACTTCTTCCAAATAGACTCGCCCAGGCCGAAAACCAACTTCTGCACATGGGCCACGAAGTTTCAATCGCACTGTATGTGTGCCCGCATGTGGTATTTTGTGGAAGAGCCACACTCAAGGGGCAAAGAGCCACATGTGGCTCGCTAGCCGCAGTTTGCCGACCACTGACCTATGCTATCCACCTTTGTCCTTTGTTTAGATTGTTGTGTTCCCAACACAGCAGAAAAAGTCTTAAGCTGCCATTTCATTGCAGGTTGACATATAATGAAATCATACTTCCACCTGAAACCTAAAACTTCACTGCCACCAGTGCTGTTCATATATATTTTGCTGAATTTATTTTTAAATATTTGATTTTTTGATACAATTTCTCATTGTATACAGAAATACAATTGGTGTTTGTATATTGCTGTAAGAAACTTGTTTACCAGTTCTAATAGCTTTTTTGAGACACGTTAGGATTTTCTATACTATATGTGATTGTGTCATCTGTAAGTAAAGACAGTTTGACTTTGTTCTTTCTTATTTATATGTTTCAATTATTTTTTATATCTTATTGCATTGGCTAGGAATACTGAATAGAAGTTGTACAATGTTGAACAGAAGTGGTAAAAGAGGGTATCTTTGCTTTGCTGCCTTGTTCCTAAAAGAAAAGCATTCATTTAACCATTAAGTATAATGTTAGCTGTTGGTTTTTCTTTGCTTTTTATTGGAGTAGTTAATTTACATATAATATAGTTGATGTTTGGATTTAAATGTACCTTCTCCTTATTTGTTTTTATTCATCCCATGTTTGGTCTCTTTAGTCTCCTTTTTTTGCCTAATTTTGCATTATCAGGTTTTTGTTTTAAATTTTTCTATTAATTTTATTGATTATACATTCTTTCATTATTATTTACTAGTTACCTCATAGTAGCTTTTCTCAGATGTGATTCTGTGAGAGAATTGAGCCCAAGTACTCTAAGCATCCATTATAAGTAATATATTAATGTCTCTCCTATTATGATATCTATGTACCATTTTGGGGAGAATTAAGAAAATAGTCACTTGCCGTAGCCGGGTTTGCTCAGTGGATAGAGTGTCGGCCTGCAGACTGAAGCGTCCCGGGCTCAATTCCGGTCAAGGGCATGTACCTTGGTTGCGGGCACATCCCCAGTGGGAGGTGTTCAGGAGGCAACTGGTCGATGTTTCTCTGTCGTTGATGTTTCTAGCTCTCGCTCTCTCCCTTCCTCTCTGTAAAAAATCAATAAAATATTTTTTTAAAAAATAGTCACTCGCCAAAAACTGTTTGGCTCAGTGGATAGAGCGTCGGCCTGCAGACTGAAAGGTCCCAGGTTCGATTCCGGTCAAGGGCATGTACTTGGGTTGCGGGCACATCCCCAGAAGATGTGCAGGAGGCAGCTGATCGATGTTTCTCTCTCATCGATGTTACTAACTCTCTATCCCTCTCCCTTCCTCTCTGTAAAAAAATCAATAAAATATATTTTAAAGAAAAATAGTCACTCAAATCACTTTCTTACAGAACCCTGGTTGAAAAATGTTGCCTTCAAAATTACAAAAGTAATTTATTGTACTTTATCTTTTTTTAATGTTTTTATTTATTTTCTCTTTTTTGAGAGAGAGGAAGGAATAGGGATAGAAACATCGATGAGAAAGAAATATCATCAATTGGTCAGCTCCTGCACACACACACACACACACCCCACCCCCACTGGGAGTTGAGCCCACAACCCAGCATATCCCCTGATCAGGAATCGAACCATGACCTCCTGATTCATAGGTCGACACTCAACCAATGAGCCACCGTGGCCGGCTGTGGTGTGCTTTTTATAGTAATAAACACCACTTAACACTGGGCTGACAATCAAGAAATTCAATGGAGCTCCTACTGTTGTTGAGCAAGGAATGGCCTTCTCAAAAATCAACTCAAAAGAGATTTCTGGCCCCACCTCTCTGACCTTTTCCTAATTTACACTCCTTAGCAAGGAAGTTTGGTCAGTGACTGACCAAAGTTGGCTAACTCAAAAAAGGGCTAATGCATTCTTGGCCAATTCGGTTGGTAATAATAAGGACAAAAGAGATGGAGGAGTATCTATAGACATTTTTTTTTATAATTTTGGATTCTGTTTTGACTATTATTCCTGGGCATGATGCCTCTTTCTTTACCCTAATGATAGCCTCTGACCAGCCTGGTTGGTATACCCTCTCCGTGACAGCCTGGGTACTGCTGCCTCCCCATCCACCCCCAACTTTTTCACACTGCTTACCTTACAAACGTTGATGAATTGTTTATGTATCAGCTCTAATTTAGTCTAACTTTCCTAGTCACTGTGACTAGATTTTGGTATTCTCAGATCTCCTGTAACAAACATACAGATCAAATCTGGTAAGCCACTTCTTTCACTATTGTGGTCCATTAACTTCCCGAGTTTTCCTAATTTCCCTCTCAGAGGGTAGTTTTGGGTTTTGCAGCGCTCCCATATTGTGATGACATCTGTTTCACCTGAAACTTTCTTACAGTCTAGAGAACACATTCCATTTGAATTTTGTTTATTGTTCTAGATGGTGAGACCAAGACCAAGACTGGAGAGCTGGCTTCAGAGGAAGGAATCACAGCAGAAACTGAACCATTGACTGAAGAGTCTGACAGCCCCAGAGACGATGTTCTCCAGGATTCTGAATGCAGAGAATTCCATGAATTGGGGGATACATTAAATGAAAAGGAGAAGAACCGCTTTAAAAGAAGACAACATAACTGTGATGAATGTGGGCAAAGCTTTGCTTGGAGTACAGGCCTCATTAGGCATCAAAGAAGCCATTGGGAGAAACCCTATGAATGTGGTAAGTGTGGGAAGGCCTTTAGTGTGAGCTCAGCTCTGGTTCTGCATCAAAGAATTCATACTGGGGAGAAACCCTATCCTTGTCATTGGTGTATTAAAAGTTTCAGTCGGAGCTCAGACCTTATTAAACATCAAAGAGTCCACACTGGTGAAAAACCCTATAAATGTGATGAATGTGGGAAAGCCTTCAGTCAGAGCTCAGATCTCATTATACATCAGAGAATCCACACAGGAGAAAAACCCTATCAGTGCAGCCACTGTCGTAAAAGTTTTAGTCAGCGCTCAGACCTGGTGAAACACCTGAGAATCCATACTGGAGAGAAGCCTTATACATGTAACCAGTGTAACAAACATTTTAGTCAGAGTTCTGATGTTATAAAACATCAAAGAGTCCACACTGGTGAAAAACCATATAAATGTGATGTGTGTGGGAAAGCCTTCAGTCAGAGCTCTGACCTTATTCTGCATCAGAGAATCCATACTGGGGAGAAACCATATCCATGTGATCAGTGTAGCAAAAGTTTCAGTCAGAACTCAGACCTTATTAAACATCGAAGGATCCACACTGGAGAGAAACCCTATAAATGTAATGAATGTGGGAAGGCTTTTAATCAGAGTTCAGTCCTTATTCTGCATCAGAGAATCCACACTGGAGAGAAACCCTATCCGTGTACTCATTGTAGCAAAACGTTCAGCAGACTTTCAGATCTTATTAATCATCAGCGAATTCACACTGGAGAGAAGCCTTACCCATGTGACCAGTGCAGTAAAATGTTTAGTCGAAGATCAGATCTTGTGAAGCATCATAGGATTCATACGGGTGAGAAACCATATGAATGTGATGAATGTGGGAAAACCTTCAGTCAGAGCTCCAACCTTATTCTACATCAGAGAATCCACACAGGAGAGAAACCCTATCCGTGCAGTAATTGTTCTAAAAGCTTTAGTCGTCGTTCAGACCTTGTTAAACATCAAAGAATCCACACTGGAGAGAAACCATATGCATGTAATCAGTGCAATAAAAGTTTTAGTCAAAGCTCGGACCTCACTAAACATCAGAGAGTGCACTCTGGGGAGAAGCCCTATCATTGCAACAGTTGTGAGAAAGCCTTCAGTCAGAGTTCTGACCTTATTCTTCATCAGAGAATTCACACTGGAGAAAAACCATACCCATGCACACAGTGCAGCAAAAGTTTCAGTCAGAACTCGGACCTTATCAAACACCAGAGAACCCACACCGGGGAGAAACCATACAAATGTAATGAGTGTGGGAAAGCCTTTAGTCAGTGCTCAGCTCTGAGCCTACATCTGAGGATCCACACTGGGGAGAAACCGTATTGGTGTGATCAGTGTGGCAAAAGCTTTAGTCGGAGCTCTGATCTCATTAACCATCAAAGAATCCACAATGGTGAAAAGCCATATAGATGTGATACATTTGGGAAAGCCTTTGGCACATGCACTGATGTTACTGAACATCAGAGAATCCACACTGGGGAGGGACCCCACCCATGTATTCAGTGCAGCAGTTGTTTTACCCAAATCTCTGAACTTATTGATCATGAGAAAGTCCATTCTGGCCAAGACAATCTAATTGTGACGAATGTGAGAAAACCTTTAGTGTACACACCAACTTTATTCAGTACCAGAGACACTATACTGGAAAAAAGTTTATGAATGCTATTGATGATTATGAAAAAGGTTTTAATCAATGCTCAACTCTTGTACTACATTTAGAAGAAAAAAAAAACAACACCCACAGTGGAGAGAAAAACATTGATTCAATTGTTATAATGAAGGTTTAACTCAGAAATTCTGAGGAGTAATCCTGTGTTGTGGGAAAATGTTCAATGTGAATTAAAATTATATCAAATGTCAGCAACAATGGAAATTTGTATCTGCTATAATGTGAGAAAATCTCTAATCTTATCAAATACAACCCATGAGAGTTTTAAAAGTATTAAGAACCTTACCAGATATTGTAAAAATCAGTGTTGTGGGTGTGCAATCAGAACTTAGAAATATATTAGTATTATAACCTGAAATCTTTAGTGAGCCCAAATTACCTATCACATATCAGAGAAGTTATTTTAGATA